TCTTATGGAAACATAAGGGCAGGGGAATAGAATTCCTCCTAACAGTAAACTAAAAGCTACTTTCTGGCACTTGTTTTAAAACACAGTAGCCCTATACTTAGGAACAAACTAGGTATTTCAAAGCTTTTGAAAGCTATTAAAAAGGGTCTAAATACAAACTTCGCATGTTTTCACTTATTTGTGGAACTAAATATTAAAATAATTGAACTCACGGAGATAGAGAGTAGGAGGAGGGCTACCAGAGATTGGGAAGGGTAGTAGGGGACAGGGGCTAGTGGAAAGCGTTAATTAGTGGGTACAAAAAAAAATGGAAAGGATGAGTAAGACCTAGTATTTGCTAGCACAACAAGGTGACTGTAGTAAAAAAATAATTTAATCATACATTTTTAAATAACTAAAAGAGTATAATTGGGTTATTTGTAACACAAAGAATAAATGCTTAAGGCGAGGGATACCCCAATTACTCTGATGTGATTATAACACATTGCATAACTGTATCAAAATATCTCATGTATCTCATAAATATATACACCTAACTATGTACCCACGAAAACTAAAAATAATTTAAAAAAATTAAAAACATATCGAAATAACAAAATTGCCTAATATTTGTATAATGCCTTGGTGACAAACTCAAACACATGGCAACTTTGCTCAAAAGATCAAAAAGTAAACTATGGACAGTCAGAGACAGGGAGGCTAGCAGGCAGCAAGAAGCATGGGGAAAGAGAGAATAGGAGGTGAAGGAATGGGAGATAACGATCTGACTTGACAGCATTGAGGCCCTGGATCTAATCAGCCCTGAAGCCAGATCTGTCTCTTTTCTTAGTTTGGGTTCCATGAACCCATACATTCTCTTTTTGGCCTAAGTTAATTTGAGTTGGGTTCCTGTCACTTACAACCAACAAGCCCCTCACTAGTCCAGCCCGTAACTGGGCTCTTCAGTATACACAACAGTGAAACTAATTTTCTAAAGCAGACATCAAACCACCACTTGCCTGTCTCAAAAGCCATTCAGCACCTCCCAATGACCCCAGGATTCAGTACAACATCTTGCACAATATGTCCCTCAATTTGACTTTCCAGACTTTCACTACTTCACCACACAAGAGGCAAACCAGGACAGCTGTTATTTCTCAAAAGTGTGCTGAAAGAGTGCCCCTGCTTTGTGCCTTTGCCATGTCAATCTCGCCATCTAGAATCCTCTCCTCCCCAATCCCTGCCTATTAAAATTGATGCAAAAAAAAAAAAAAAAAAGGAAAGAAGAAAGGTCTACTCTTTTCTCAAGGTCCATTTGACCTTCTCTCCAAGAAGACTTTCCTAAGTGCCTCCTGTTCCCAAAGATGTTACTGTACCCTTCTTCAGCCGTGACTGCAATTTTTTTTTTTTTTTTTGAGACAGAGTCTCACTCTGCTGCCCAGGCTGGAGTGCTGTGACACAATCTCAGCTCACTGCAACCTCCGCCTCCTGGGCTAAAGTGATTCTCCTGCCTCAGCCTCCCAAGCAGCTGGGACTACAGGCACGTGTCACCCCACCTGGCTGATTTTTTTGTATTTTCAGTACAGACGGGGTTTCACCTTGTTGGCCAGGCTGGTCTCAAACTCCTGACCTCAGGTGATCCACCCACCTTGGCCTCTCAAATTGCTGGGATTAAGGGCATGAGCCACCGCGCCTGGCCCCTGATGTCATTTTCTATATGACCTTTGCTTTATTCTATCTTATATTTTGTGCTTTCTCATCTCAGTGCCCTCTTATTAATGACAACACCAACTACTCAGCCCCCTGAGTTGAAGCTCTGAGCCTCACTTCCTCACCCCACAACTCATACGCTTACCAGATCCACTCTAATCTTTCTCAAAATACTTCCCAAATCAATCCCATCATTCCTGTTGCTCATCAGAACTCTTAACCTTCATATCTTCTCCCTGCCACCAGCCTCATCCTACTGAAATCCAGTTGCCTACTGACACCACTTATCTTTCCAACTTTCAAATCTGAGCATGCTAAGGCCCCGTCTAGAGAGTCAAGACCAACGGCTCCCACTCCCCAATGGGTTGATTTCTGTCTCCCTTCACAGGTTCATTGCCCACCACTCCCTAAGAAGCACCAACTTCAAAGTACGTCTTTGTGGTACTGTGGTACCTAGTGTAAGACCTTACTTGGTGCTTGGTCAACTTCATTGGTGTTCAGCACTGGACTGTTGTTATATACTTCACTGGACAGCACCGAGAAGCCCTGTGGACGCTGCCATCCCATAAATAATTTTCTCCTGACTGCACGCCTGAGTGCGCTGAGGTTAAGAGATGGGCACTGGACCAGACAGACCGAAGTCCAGTCCTTGTTCTGTCACTTCCAAGCTGTGCGTCCCAGAAAAGGCTGGGCCTCCGCACCCTTACCTGTAAAGTGGAGATAAACAGCACCTATCTCACTGGGGTTTTGTGAACAAATGAGAAAATGCATTTAGGATGCTTGGGCAAGGTGCCTGGTACACAGGTGATCGATAAATATTTGTTCAATGAATGAGTTAATGAATAGGCAGCCCACAAAATGGTAGTGGTTCTTAAAGACACATCTTTCCAGGGAACCCACTCTCTGGCTGCTTGGAATTTGGTTTCAAGTCCGGCCCCTAAATCTGGGGTCCAGAGCAAGGCCTGACTCCACCCATTCCTACATGCAGCTGGGTGACATCAGCGGGTGAGGCCACTCAAGTCCAGAATCTGTTGCTGGGCTCCTTCCTAAGGACGGAGCGGGGAACACTACCTGGTCCTACCCGGCAGCAGCCGCAGTCCCGCAGCCCCCACCACCAAGCGCGTGGCAGCTTTGCCGTCCCTCCGGCCGCCAATCACCACGGCTCGGTCCCACCCCTAATCGGATTCACCAATAGAGCCGGAAGGCGGACCCTCGGGATGCTTCCGCTGTACTCATAGGCTCTCCAGTGCTCCTGCCCGCCCCTGTTACAAGTCATCCGCGCGGTGCACTGTGGCCCTTGCAGTCTGGAAAGGGGGCAGCGCGGGCAAGCTCCACTGCGGGGACAAGCTCCACTGCGGGGACGAGCTCCACTGCGGGAACTTTAACTCTTGCCCCGAGCTGCAGCGCTGAGGGTCCTGGGGTTACCTCCAAACCCCCCAGACTCAAATTCCTTCTCCTAATTAGTGATAAAGAGGGAAGACGGGCTACCCACCCGCCCCACCTTTGGAGCTGATGCCCTGGGTTCCCTCCCTTCCTCTGCAGTGCGCTGGGGCCACCAAGGACCCGCGAGACTACCGGGTCCATCTTGCTCGGATAATTCAGTATCGCCTGAAATTTGAAATTACCATTTCAGATCAAGGAGACATTCAATTATCTTATTCACCTGAGAGGCAGTTTCTGGAAGGTGCGGAAGCTCTGAAAAGCCAACAGTGACTCCTGGCTTCGCTAGTTTCCTTTAAAAATCCACCACAGAACTGACCATCACGATTTTATCTAAACAATGTGACCCGTTTACATTCCAAACTGCATCACTTCTTCAGTGCATGAAAGCTGTCAATGGTGCCCATTGCTTAAGATGTAAAGTTCAGGTCCCTGAGTTAGGCATATAAGGTGCTTTACAATTATTTTGTGTTCACTTATTTGTAGTTACATTTCTTAAAAGCAGCGTTTCTTAACGTCTACCACACGTGAGAATCACCTGGGGAGCTTTGTAAAAATGCGAGTTCTTTTGTCCCACCCTAGACCTCAGAATTTTGGAAGGGCAGGGGGGACTTCTATGTTTTTAAAGCTACCCTGGGTAATTTTCACATGCAGCCCAGGTTAAGAACTACTGGTTTACTGTCTATCAACACAGCCTGATGCATGTGAGCCTTTGCTTTGTGGCATCCTCGGTTTAAAGAAGTCTTCTTCCCTCTCTCTTGCCTGATCAGTGCTCATTCTACAAGGCCAAGTTCAACTGTTACCCCTTCTCTTCCCTGTCCTCCAGCAGGTGATGGTTTCCTTTAGTACGTTATTCACGCTGCTTCTCCAGCATCACTGTCGTGACCTGGTGATTTGTCTGTCTCCCTGGTTAAGTAGGGAGTTCCCTGAGGGCAGACAAAGTATCTTCCTTCATCCACTTCAGATCCACTGAATCAGAATCTCAAGGAGCAGGTCTCAGGCATAAATGATTTTTAAAGTCCCATTGGTGATTCTGATCCATGTCCCTATCTAGGAACTCGCTTCACAAAAGCACTGGGTACAGTAGGTAAGCATACAAATATTTGTTGCATTGAACTGATGAAGCATCTCATTTGTTTTGAAGTCAATCATGTTGTTGCATCTGGCTGCCTTTGATTCCCCCTGGAAAGCTAAGCACCCCTCTCTTGTAGTATCATCTTTATTCATTTACTTATTCATTTATCCGAGTATTATCATACACCATAACAAAGGCCTGGGGATTCAGGAGTAAATATAAATATAAATATATATATATGTATATATAAACACAGTTACCACCCTATAGGCCTTAGAGTCTACTGATGTATTGTCTATTCTAGTTATTAAAATTTATTTTGTATTACATTGGAATGTTTTTGCTTCCATATACTATTTATATTCAAAGGTAGGTAAAATGTCTTATTCTCTAATATCTCCAGTAGGTTGCTGTCACGTAGAAGGCATCCTGTAAATGTTTATTGAATCAAGGCAGCACATTTCATAGAGCTTATTACAATTTGTTAGTATTTATTTGTGTGATTATTTGACTAATGGCTATCTGTCCCATATGCTGCAAGCCCACTGATGACAAGAACTGAATCTATTTTGCTCATAATGTCTGACACAGGACCTGGATGGAGTAGGTGCTCAATGAATATTACTAAATACACAAATAAGAACAGAAATGCAGTCTCCCAATCAAACATTCACTCCTCTCTCCCTCCCCACTATCTCCCCAAAAGTAAAAAGTCTATTCTTCCTAAACATTAAGGGATTTCAAGCTGTAGTGAACATAAGCCCAAACTGAGATGATGCTTCTTTTACTTACTTACAGGTTGACCTGGGACTCTAGTTCAGGGTCTTTCGTTGGCCATGTCTGAAGGGGCTGAATGCCGAAGGAGAGAGACGACTTTGCTTTCCATAGAATGGTTTGTGCCATCTGACTCCCACAGGGCCCCTTCATTAACGGGTCCATCAGTGGGCCTGGAGGCTGGGCTGCTGTCCTGAAGCAGAAGAGTTAGGAAAGGCACTGAGACAGAGAAGAACGGCAGGCCAATCCCTGGCCTGCTTCACCCTCCTCCCGAAGGGCTGCCCCACTGGTAAGCAAGGAGGAGGGCGACACTGAAGCACCCTCAAGACCCAGGGGCCCCATCAAGACCGCATGTGACCTTACTGCATCAAGGAAGGCATTGGGCCATGGAGCCATCCAAGTCCTGTTACATCCCTCAGCAATCAGTTAAGTCAGTGGAGTGTAAAGTAAAAGGAGGCCCAGTGAGCATTTGAATAATCACAAACTGTTTAGAGAAAGGCAGTATGAATTGGTAAGGGAAGCTATGTCTAGAATGCTTTCGGAGAATCACTAGTGGTAGGACTTTGTGGCCATCACTGGGGTAGTCCAGGAGCACTTGGTTTATCTCCTAATTGAAAAATCCAAGAAAAGCCATAAAAAGGGCCTAGACTGGCAACAACACTGGAGACAAGGACCAAAGCCCACCATTCAAGAGTAATAGCATATAGTATATATAAGCAGTAAATGCTTGCTGAATTAATAAATGGCTTGTTCATAGGAACAAACTGAGACATGCATTCCTGAGATGTGTCTGCTCCTTTCTCCGACGATGCATCAAGGAAGGTGGAAAAGGCAGTTGTGGGATGATGGGGCTACTCTATTAGGAAATGCAGGCATCACGCTCTTTCTGACTGGAATTATTTTCTGAGCCAATTAGCAGGGCTCTTCACTCATCTATACCTCACCTGACAGACAAACAAGCCAGAAAAATCCAATTACTTGGAAATGGAAAAATAAAAAGCAATCTTATATAATACCTTGGTCAAGGGGACTGTTTATAATGTCTTTTTAAGAAAGATGTGACATCTCTGGATCTCTGGCTGGAGTCCTGAGGGAAGGAAAGAGGCAGGGAGGGAGGGAGGGAAAGGAAGGGAGGAAGGGAGGAAGGGAGGAAGGGAGGGAGGGAGGAAAAAAAAATGGCCTAATGGCTCAGAAAGGTTTTACGCATGAGAAGGGAGCGCTGTGAGGCTGGAGACCAAGAAGAGCTACTCCACACAAGTTGGGGCTTTGGAATCAGACAGGCACTGGCCACTCTGATGGTTCTATAGTGGTGCTAATTAGACCCAAGGCTGCAGGCATATTAAAAAACAAACAACAACAAAAAACCAGGCCGGTCATGGTGGCTCACACCTGTAATCCTAGCTATCTGGGAGGCTGAGGCAAAGGAATCACTTGAACCCGGGAGGGAGAGGTTGCAGTGAGCTGAGATCGCGCCACTGCACTCCAGCCTGGGTGACAGAGTGAGACTGTCTCAAACAAAACAAAACAAACAACCCAAAAAAGTCACTCTAATGACCTGTGCCTAATGCAGGAAGGGCTCAAGACTCACATAACCTCCTACCTATCCCCTTTGTCTTCTCTCTTGCCAGGTCTCTCTGGTATTCCTCTTATAAATGATGACCTGGCTTCCCCCATCGCCTTTCCTGGGCCCAGGAGGCCACATGCTGCATACCTGACCCAGACTTCTAGGTAATCACCGTAGGCTGGCTTCAGGCCACTTATCTTGGCAGCAACTAGACATCAAAGGCTCAAGTCACCCACTTATGACAAAGCACAAGAAACCAGGGTTCTGTTATGTTATCAGTTGTTCTTTACCCAAAGGAACCCCGAGTCTTCTAAAACCCAGTGTCACTAGAGTTTACAGCTACCTTACTGATATACCAACAAATAAATAACAAATCAGGGCTTCGGGATGACAGACATTTTCTTTTTTCTTTCTTTTGAACCTTCCAGATTTATTTCAGTTACGAAGATAATACTTGTATGCAAAAGATTTATTAAGCAGTGCCCACAAAAGATACCGTTAAGGGAGTGGAGGAAGCAGGACAGGGAACGAGAAGAAACCCAGTGAGACTTCAGTTTCAGGCAGAACCCTGTGGAGGAACAGCTTCCATGTGACTGATGCTGTGCTGTCTGACTGGGTAGCCACTAGCCACTACTGAGCAACTGAAATGGGGGCATCCCAAGTGAAGTGTGTTACACACTGGGTTTTGAAGACTTAGTACAAATAAAAATGAATTTAAAACATCTCATTAATTTTTCACACTGATTACATGTTGAATGATATAAATACATTGTTAGAATGATTTTTTTTAAGTAAAAAAATTTTTTTTGAGACAGGGTCTCACTCTGCCACCCAGGGTGGAGTGCAGTGGCATGATCACAACTCACTATAGCTTTGACTTCCCAGGCTCAGGAGATACTTCTGCCTCAACCTCCCAAGTAGCTGGGACCACAGGTGTGCACCATCACATCTGGCTAATTTTTTAAAACATTATTTGTATAGACATGGGTCTCCCTATGTTGCCCACAGTGGTCTGAAACTCCTCAACTCAAGTGATCCTCCCACCCAAAGTGTTGGGATTACAAGCATGAGCGCCATGCCTAGCCCCTTATTAGAACGAATTTTAATGTGGCTACTAGAAAATGTAAAATCACATATGTAGCTTGCTTTATATTTTGGGCACTGATGCTCAAGGTAACTGACATCTCAGAGTTGTCCCCATCTGAGACAAGGGGCGAGGCTTCCATTTCCTGCAGCCTCAGTCACTGGCTGAGGGCCGCAGGGTGGGAGTGAGGATGGGGTGATGTAAAGGCCCAAGTGAATCCTTCAAGCTGTCTACACATGTGGGATGCAGGGGTGCAAAGGCAGTTCACCTGCGAGCACCATTGTGAGTGCTGGAGGTCCATGGAACTCAGGATGGGAAAAAGAGCACAGATCTGTGCAGTAAAGGGACCTGAGGGCATCTAAGGGGACTGACTGACGAGGTCCATGACACCTCCCACCCCACTCCCTTTCCTCTTCAGTATCTCCCTACCACTTCAGTAGTTTGGCTTCCTACCACTCTTTTCTCTATCTGCAAACTTTTATGCAATATATATGCTTGGACTATACAATGTTCCGTGACTTGCTTTTCTTTCTAAACTAGAGGTCTTATACATCTTTCTACATCAGTAAATATACACGCATCCTTAATTTGGAATATTACAGAAAGAGACATCCTTACACATTGTTTACATTCTTTTAGCTTTTTAATCTTTAAATACTAAGATGATTTAATTATCTTACCATGTTCTTTTCTAGCCCTTTAATCTTTAAGATTTTATTAAAAATTTAAAAGCCTAGCTCTTTTAAACTTCTTCTCTCATTTAATTTTATCTTTTTGCCATACTTTACTCTTAGAGTTCTTTTTTTGCACTTTCATCTAATTCTCTGACTTCTGAAACTGTTCAGATTTTGTCTCATCACTGTTAATTTTAATCCATTTACTCATTTCTTTTATCTTTTCTTGTCCTAACTTTCTAATTTTAAAAAATATGTTCCTCTTAACCTTCTGACATATTTTACCTTTATCTTCTCACTATTTAAAATATATAGCAGTTGAAGAACTTCTTGGAAAGAAGTGGAGTACTATTTGCATAATAACTCCTTGGCACTCTTGGAAAAAAGCAAAAAATAGCTCAATATATAAAGACAACTTATTGAAACAAGAGAGTGGCCAAACTCCATGACAGAACTCTGAGATCTGCTACCCATGATTAAGTGTAGACAAACTGAAAGAGATCACTGAGAGCCTGTACTTCTCCTGTAATGTGAGGGAAATGACCTGGTGTGTCCTGAAGTCCTGGCCAGGCTTGATTTGAAGGGGTGAGGACTGGCAGCAAGGGTGGGATGGGGCAGAGGGTTTCCTCTTCTTTTTGCTTTTTCCACTGGCCCAGCTTTCCAATGAGAAAGGGTGACCTTCTGAGGACAGGCTGAAGAAGAGAAGGATAAGTATGTCTTAGGAGCCACTTAGATCTCTTGAAAGATATTAACGAAAAATACACATGAACCTGCCCAAAGAAAGGCCACAAGTCAGAAGAAATCACACTGACCCACCCAGATCCTCTGTAGAGGCAAGACCCTCTTTGGGGTAAAGGCTGGAAATTCAAGGGAAGCCCTGCCAGGGGGGTCAGATACAGCACAGGAACAGGGAATTGGGTGGACTGATGGGAAAATGTGGGACTGGTAAGAAGAGATGGCACATTCCTACTGCCTCTGTACCCTGCCTGCTTCCTGAGGCCAGACCTCAAGCTCAGGTTCTAAAAGAGAAGATCCAATCATTGCTCCGACAGAGTGGGAGGCAGTTGAGGTGGTTCCATGCACATTATTAGTGGGTGCACGACCCAGGAGAGCTGCTTCTAGTCAAAGATGAACATGCAAGACTACCGAGCACAGGACCTATGAGAAACGGCAGCACTGGGCAGATGCGGAGTACAGATCAGGAGGTTTCCACAGGGAGCAGATGAAAAATAAGACACCAGGAGAACACAGCTTCTCTCAAAACGTCAAATATTGCAATAGGCAGATTTCACAAGGCTCTAGGATAAATATCCTAGAATAAGGTAGGGAAAAGGATGATTCAGTGTGGAGGTGCTTTCTAGGGGCAGTGGACCTGTAGGAGAGGACATAGGGGTATCCCTGAGCAGCTCTCCTATGGAAAGTGTTTTTCTATGTATGTGGTTTCCTATTTGATAGAGGACAGCCCTGAGAAGCAGACAGTTTACAGTTTTCCCCTCCTATCTGTGACTCCCAAGCCCTAGGTGTGCCTTGAGTCTTAGTATTGTGAGTCCAAAGGGATGGGGGCAGAGAGAAACACAGCCTATTTCACAGTTAGGCCTCTCCTCAAGGACACAAAGAAGTAACAGCAGTCTAGAGAACTTGTCTGGGAGCTCCAGATTCGGCCCCTCTAGCTGTGGCAGCCACAGCCAAGCCTGATGAGGCCTAATTTATGAAGTCTCAAAGAGACCACACTTTGGGAGGCTGAGGTGGGCGGATCACGAGGTCAGGAGTTCGAGACCAGCCTGGCCAACACGGCAAAACCCCGTCTCTACTAAAGATACAAAAAATTAGCCAGGCATGGTGGCATGAGCCTGTAATCCCAGCTACTCGGG